ACTACGCTTACCAACATGCAGTACCATGGACAAGGAAAGCAACCATGCAACTTTTTTTTTTCTTTTTTTTTTTCATGCAACTCATTTTGCATGTACAAAGGAATGACGGACCCGGTTTCTGGAAGATGCTGCTCCCCGCCAATAGATGGAGCCTTCATACAGGGGGCACATGTGAGGAAGATGCTCTTACCACTCCCTCAAGTGCTCCCTCAATCGAAGTTTTTTTTTTTTTTAAAGGGAAAAAAAAAGAAAGGTGGCGGCGGTTTGAATGATTTGTTCTCAGGCCGCCGGCCTCAAGGTTGAATTTTTTAATGGAATTTCTCACATTTTCCCAAAAAAAAAAAAAGAAAAAAAGTTCTAGACCGTCCACTAATAATGGAGATAGACGGCCGCAAATAACGGCATAGTCACACTAGCACGTACAATTGCAAATTATATGTGAGCCAATTTGCGAATATACAGCACTTCCCAGTCACAGAGCACACCCTATATGTCACAAAACAGAAAGGACACAGTCTCTACCTGCTCTAGGAATGCTATTATGCGGGCCGAAGGGTCACACAGCACGATGCATAAAAATATATTAAAATTCATCCCTTTTTCCCATGGTAACCCCGGACCCGGACACCGGACACTTCCGGACTGTCTTCCGGACCAGTGTCTGGACCGGTCCGGACTGTCCGGTGATCCGGACATCACCGGACACCGGACACCACCGGACACTGGACAGTCCGGACCGGTCCCCGGGGTGCAAAAATGTCCGGACCCAAAAACAAAAAACAAAAAAAAAAACGGGGGGGGRGGTTGGGKGGGGGTGTTGGCAGGCACTTACCTGCTTTGCACTCTGTAGTTCAGGCAGCAGAGCATGTGTCTTGCAGCAAATCAACCAGCACATTTAACTAGCAGACATGCAGAGTTGCGAACAGTGCAAAGCAGGCACAAGACTAAAGAAACAGAGATTTTTTTCTGAAAAAAGTATGATTAACTTTGAACTTTGAACTTTGGATTTAGGGTCTCGTTAGACACTCCTAAAAGAATCCTAAAATTTTTAGGACAGTCCTAAATGTTTTTTAGGATTTCGTGCGTCGTGGTTACACGCATCCCTAAAAGACCATCGTTTAGGACCAGTCCTAAAAGAAAGTCGTAATTAAAAAGAAAAAAATAAAAGAAAAAAAGTCATGCTTCAAGTTTCAGCCAATAGGGTGCACCAGGAGTCCAAGACAACGGTGCCATGCGCACGTTGCCACGACTCCGTCAAACGAGGGAATCCTAAAAATTTCAGCAGGTCGGGGGCTACTGAAAAATTTAGGACGAATTTGCCTGCGGAATCCTAAATTCTTTAGGATTCGTCCTAACGCCGTTTTCACTTTTTCGATTTCGAAATCGGATTTAGGATCGCGTGCAACGACGATGCAATCCTAAAAACAGGCATTTTTAGGAGTGTCTAACGAGACCCTTAGTAATTTAAGTTCATAACTTCATATATAACTTAAAAGTTCGAACTTTGCAGTTCAATTCAGAACATCAGAGTCTTCAGACTGGCAGCACTGTCAGTGCTCTCTCTCTCTCTCTCTCTCTCTCTCTCTCTCTCTCTCTC